TATCCAGGCAAGTTATCCTCTGGGAAAGTGTGTCTTTGTGTAGTTTGTCTTGCACAGAAAGCTTGTTCATCTATTTCATCCCCTACTTCACTTTTGACAGGAGCTCACATTGGTCCTGAGCCTACAACCGATCGATTTGTCGTTGTTATGGTAATTGTCAATTTATCTCCTTTTATGTTGTCATTAAGACAGTGTTGAACTGCTTAGCAATTAAAAGTTAAAAGTAAATGTTTTATATGGTTGTATGCAAGTTAAAAAGCCATATAATTAATAAGGCTTTACGGGGACTCAGTAAGAATATAGAAACTAAGCTTCTTACACAAATAGCCATCCATGACTTGCCTTAATGGCACTTCCAATAGTGCCCAGTTTCACTAATGAGGTCGGATCAATCTAGAAATGTTATCGTTGGTCATGTGTCAAAATCTAGAAATATTTTTCGGTTTTTAAAAAAATAGGAAACTTCATTTTAATCATCGGCAAAGATGACTTTTAGACTAAAACCATGAGTAAGATCAAAATCTAATTTTAATCCCTTGATATGTTAATCACCTCATTTATTAATTATATTTTTTATGTTTTAATTATTTCCCTTTTTCTTCTTAATTTTAATGTATTAATTTTATTTCATTATAATTATAATTTTCATTTCATTCATCGTAATATATTTTGTTGTAAACATTTAAATAAACTAATTTTTATTTTACAATGTATTTCGATATACTTGGTCTTCTTCATTTAGGTATATTAAATTTATTATAATACATTTCGGTGCATACATTTAGGTACACACATTTCAGTACATACATTTTGATACAAACATTTAGGTACATTAATTCAATATAATACATTTCGGTACATTGGTTTAATATAATGCATTTCGGCACATACATTTGGGTACATACATTTCAGTACACACATTTAGGTACATTAGTTTAATATAATACATTTCGGTGCATACATTTGAGTACATACATTTCAGTACTAATATTTAAATACAATATAATACATTTCGGTACTAATATTTCGGTATATACATTTCGGTAGTAACATTTAGGTACATTAATTGAGTTTTTCAAGTTTGAAGAATGTTAAATAAAATTAATAAATTAAAAAAACTTTTGTTTGGTCAAAAAATATATTAAATGTGTATATCAATAAATTTAAATATTTAATTGGAGACATTGAACAAAATACACATTAATTATTTTGAATTGAGGACACATCAAGGGACTATAATCAATATGTAATCTAACACAAGGTTTATTTTAAATTTAAATCTTTTTCAAGGAAGTTAGAAAACCCCTAAAAAAATATGACAAAAATCAGAAATGTTATCGTTGGCTATGTGTCAAAATCTAGGCTGTTGTATTTCAATTTTTTGTAATCCAACGCTCCAGATTAGCTAAGTTAATAAAAAAATATTAAACATTATTAAAAAATACAGAAAAAAAAATGTATTTTTTTTTATTTTATAAAAACCTTACCATTATCTTCCACCTTACACCAAATTTCAGTATTTTCAAATACTGTCAACCAATCTCTCTCAATGTTTTCATAAACACACCAAATAAACTTAAAATCTATCCACAAAAATTGTACTTTTAGAAAATGACATGTGACATGACGAGATTGGTTAAAAATACGAATTGTCTAGGCTATTCAGTTTAAAGGTAGAGATACAATAGGGCGGTTGTTACTATTCACTCAGGAGATTGAATTGCCTATTAGCCGTGGGGCTTTTTAGGGGTGGAAGTGCTCTAAACTTTTGTGTTTTGAATTTAAAGAAACTTTTCCTTTATATTTATGTGTCGCCCTTTTTAGTAATTATCAGCAGGGGTATATATCCCTTAACATTTCCATTAAAACTAGGGTGCGTTGGCACATTTTGAAAATGAAACTTTACATTTTGGCCTATATATTAGAGACTCTTATCTTTTAAATTTCAATAGAAAAATTTGTATTTTGTCTGGTTTCTATTGGTTGAAATAGTCTCTCATATCAATCATGAGTCAGGAATTTGGAAGGCAGATTGCAGAGTAGCGTGGCAGAATGCCAAGAGTCTGGATAGGGTACTAAGCTTATTATTAGCCTAGTTCTAGGAATTTGGAGAGAAACTGAGGGATATTTTGTGTTTGTGGTCATTGATCAATAAAACAATTAACAATATTTCTTGCATCTCTTGGAAATGCTTCTGAGAGGCTTAGCAGTTGTACATGTACATTTTCCTTTTTGCTTTTTGGGTGTCATTAGTACAAAAAAAAGTGATGTTTTAGACAAGATCCTGAGATTTCTTCACTTGTTACCTTATATTTCTTAAGAAAGTTGTTTGGGTTAGTGTTAAGATATATATTCTGTTGCTGTTTGTAGACATTAAACTTTTCCAAATTCCATTTGCAGTTTTTTGTTTTCTGTTAATGCTTCTGAAATTAATATTGTTTAGTAGCTAATTCTTCTTGCGTGTAGTCTGGGCCTGATGAAAGAAGTATTCCTGGGAATACTATTGCCGTCCAAGCTGATATGCCATTTAGCGGTCTTACAACTTTTGGAACAGCTTTCTTGTCAAGGTTTGAGTGTGCTCAAATGCCACATTCTGTGAGTTGTCTTTCAGAATCACCTTGAAATTCTACAAATTGTCTACTAAAACACCCAAAGCTTACACATTTTTATATCCAAGCTGCTAGAACACATTACTATTGTGGATACTCCTGGAGTTTTAGCTGGAGAGAAGCAACGGACGCAACGAGCCTATGATTATAATGGAGTAACTTCGTGGTTTGCTGCAAAGTGTGACCTCATTCTACTTCTGTTTGATCCTCACAAACTTGATGTTAGTGATGAGTTCAAGCGTGTTATTTCATCTTTACATGGCCATGACGATAAAATTCGTGTTGTTCTGAACAAGGCAGATCAAAGTGATACTCAAAAAGTAAGCATAGGCAATAAATGGATCTCTTTGATTATTTTCCCTCTACATATTTTTGTGGGAATTAGTTTAGGTCATTGGATGTTACGCTCAAATCATTTTTCATTCTTGGTATGCAGTTGATGAGGGTTTATGGAGCGTTGATGTGGTCACTTGGGAGGGTTGTTAATACTCCTGAGGTCATGCGAGTTTATATCGGGTAGCCACTCCATCCTTGCATTCATTAATTCCTTGGAAGCAAATCCTATAGTTTCAAATATATTCCAATGTTTCCTAGCAAATACCTTGGTTCGATCCTGGCAAGCTCAGTTTCCCTTTTGCAGCTCATTCAATGACAAACCTATAAATGAGGCTGCTACGGGTCCAGTCGGGAAAGAACTCTTTGAAAAGGAACAGGGAGATCTTTTGTCTGATTTAAACGATATTCCAAAGAAGGCTTGTGAGCGCAAAGTGAGTTTGCTATATTTACGTATCTCGAATCTTACTTTACCAAGATGCTCTCTGGTTTTATTTGCAAACTTATAAGCTTATTGTAGAGGTGATATTAGGTTAAGGCCCCTTATTTAAACTGAATGTTTCTTGCAGATTCCTATGGAATGGAATTTTTATGATCTTTGTTTTTCGCAGATCAATGAATTTGTGAAGCGTGCCAGAGCTGCCAAGATACATGCATACATAATTAGCCATTTAAAGGCGGAGATGCCTGCCATGTTTTGGAAATCTACGGCTCAACAGAAGCTTATTGATAATTTGGAAGACGAATTTAAAAAGGTACTATTCCCTCCATCCCCTGCGTATGCGCACTCTCTACTCTATAATGCTCACACTTGACGTACTATACAGGTTCAGGGGGGCACCATCTGCCTCCAGGGGATTTCCCGGACGTAAACCGCTACAGGGACATCTTGAGTGGTTACAGCTTTGACAAATTCGAGACGTTAAAGCCTAAGATGATAGATGCCGTCGATGAAATGCTGGGTTATGATATCCCGGAACTCTTGAAGAAATTCAGAAATCCATTCGACTAATGGGGGCAAACAGTTCTGAGAAATATCATGAACTATGGTGGCTTTGAAGGGTATATGTTGACGGAGCGTTGCTCTTCTTGAGCACTTGGTGTTTGTTGTAGCATAATATGGTTTCAACTCGTATTATAGTTCCGGGATTTAGATATTGCCAATCTCTATACAAGTGGTGAGATTCTTGTGTTAAAAAATTAATAACATAAAAAATAAAATTTCTCATCGCTTATATAATAGCACATGGTGTACTACTTGTGTTACCTGCACAAAGGAAAAATTTATCGAAGGCTCCTTAGAGCAAGTCACCCCCAAAAAAAAAATGCGCCATCACCCAGCCTATTTAATCTACTTAGTGAACAGTGATAGACCACAATGAACAATAATAGGCCAAATGCATCTCCACTCCTACAAAATGCACTGGCACTTAGTCCATTTAAAATATTATTCAATTTTTTATAAAATAATAAATAAATAAATAGTTTTAATTTCATATTGGATTTTTAACCAATTTCGTCACGCCACATGTCATTATCAGAATAAAATTACATAAACTCATCAAATAAACTTAAAAAAAACACACTAAAGAAAATTACATAAGCTCATCAAATAAACTTAAAAAAACACACTAAATAAACTAAGAACTTTATTGTTCCACCACAAGTTCCTTTTAATTATCTTGAACTTGTTGCAATTCCCATTGGTGCTCAATCAAGTCAGTTTGACAGGTACTGTGCTAGTAAGACTCTTGCAATGAAGTGTACCGTTGAACGATCAATTGATTGTAACGTCCATACCATTCCAATGGCTCGTGTTGCACGGGATCTTTGGTGTCATCATGAGCACAATAGATACATGTTCTTGAGTTGTTCATTGTGTCCGGCTCGTATTTGTTGACAGCATCATAATCATACTCATCTTCCACGAGCATGTTGTGGAGAATGATACACGTCATCATGATGGATCGAACTGCCTCGACCTCAAACATTCTAGCAGCTGACCTGACAATCGCCTAACGAGCTTGCATGATACCAAAATAATGCTCCACATCCTTCCTACACCCCTTTTAACATTTTGCAAAGTGTTTCTTTTTCATTTTTTGGATGTGGGACTGTTTTGACAAACGTTGTCCATCTTGGGTAAATGTCGTCTGCAAGGTAGTATGGCTCGTCGTATGTATGGCCATTGACTGAATATGTGACTCTGGGTGCTTTTCCTTGCAGCACTTCGTCGAAGACTGGAGATTGGGTAAGGACATTTAGGTCATTCTGAGCTCCTAGAACACCAAAAAATGCATGCCAAATCCATGTATCAAATGAAGCTAGAACTTCCAAAATGATACTTTTGGCTCCTTTTCTATCTCCATACGCTCTTTGCCACGTACTTAGACAGTTTTCCAGGTCCAGTGCATGCAATCAATGCTTCCAATCATGCTAGGGAAGCCTCGCATCTCACCCTTCCTCAGTACCCTTCGCAGATCCCTATGCGTCTGTTTCCGAAGGTACTCCTTCGTATAGAGGGCTTCAATTGCGGAGCAAAATAGCATCAGGGACTCCAGAACAGTTGATTTTCTCATTCTCGTTATCTCATCCACTTTATCTGCAGATACTCCATATGCAAGTATCTGTAAGGTAGCAGTAACTTTTTGCTCAGGAATAAGACCTAGAACATGAAAAGCATCTTTTTTTGGCACAAAGTATTCATCATGGCTGCAAATAGCACTCATGATTTTGTCGAACAAACTTCGTTGCATTCTAAAACGACGTCTAAAAACATGATCAGGAAATACACAGTTGGGGATAAAATAATCTTCCAAGTGATTATTACCTCGTATTTCCCTTTTTCTATCGAAGTTTGCAGAACGTATGGGTTTGGATATTTGACCCACAACTTCCATGACATGGTGGGAATGTGAGGCCCTATGCCTTCCATAGTCATCATCCTCATCCTCCTCCATTGCTAAAGTCTCATCTCCACCTTCACCTTCTTCGAGATTGACCAATTCTTCCTGTTGTGCCAACAATCTTTTATGTTGCTCCTCAAACTGTGTATACACTCTCCTTGAAGAAGACATTGTACAGATGGATGTAAAGATGAAGAAATATTTTTAGCTAAAAATAAGGATTGATTTTGGTGTGAGGATGGATGTAGGGTTTATATTGACAAAAAAAGAAAGGATGAGGTTCTGGTTAGGTATTTTTTTCACACAAAAACTATATGAAAGCTTTGGTAGAAAGTGTTGAAAATATTGAAATATGGTGTAAGGTGGAAGATGATGGTTAGGTATTTATAGGAAAAAATAGGTAAATAAAATAATAGTATTTCCACCCCTACAATTGAATAGCCCTGACAATAGGTAAATAAAATAATAGTATTTTTTTGCTTGGAATTTCCCGTGCACTCTCCACTCCCTCTCTTTCCACTCATCTTTCTCACTTTTCTCCATTTTTCTAAAATGCCTCTCTCTCTTTCTAAGCTCTCGACACTCTCACTCTCTCTAGAGCTCCGAGAGCTCTCACCCACTTTCCTCTTCAAAAATTAAACAAATCAAACTCCAAAATCGTGAAACCTTAATCTCTGGGACTAAAGGATCCTAGCTATACCGTTGCATGCGTCATCGGACCATCATGATGTAAACCACCATTGAAGCCGAAAGCTTCAAGATCTGAAACTCGAACCCAGGTGAGGTTTTCTATGCAAATCTTGTTTCATTATGTCTTAATGTTGATTGGGACAAGATTTGTGGTGTTTTTCTAGTTCGAAACCAGAAGTTTAACCCCCTGAAATTTCTCTGAAACCTTGCCCAGTTTTTGGTCAGCTCCTCGAAGCAAACTCTGGCAAGTTTGTGGGTTCTGGAGCTCTTGCTCAATTTGAATCCATTCCAGGTACTTAAATGTCTCTTTGCATGTGAAAATTAGTTGGAAATTACTAAGGTTTGACATGCATGCATACTGTTTTTCCCCATTTCGAATTCGGCGACGAAACCCAGCCCTTGCAAGCCATTTTCCGGCAATAAAAAAGTGGCTGACATCTGGGCGATGTTAGCCTTATGTCATGTTGCCTTCGGGCTCTCGAGCTAGTAACTTGTGTCAAGCCTCTCCCTCAGGTCAGGCTTTTCCCTCGGGCTGGCACACATTGGGGCAAGTCGCTTGGGCTATCTAGCCCTGTTCCATCGCCAGTCCACCAGGCAAAAGACCATGGTGGAAATGCTCTAAAGCTTAGCAAAAAAGAACCATTCATCATGTGAAAGAGCACCGTTCATAAACAGTAAAGTGACGAAAATGCCTTTAGTTGTTGCTGATTCTCAAGTTTTTTTCTGAACATTAAATTTACAGTTTTACCCCTGCTCTCCACGTGTTGGTCATCGTGGAAAAGGAAGGGATGGGTCGCACTCTTCTTTCTGCTTTTCTCGAGTTTTCTTTCCCAGAAAGCTCTCCAGTTCTCTCTTGCTATTCCTCCGCTTCTTCCTATCAAATTTCGATTCCTCATGTGTTTGTCGTACAACGCCAAAATGGCGCAAGGTTTCGTTGATTTCGGTACAAATTCCTTCGAATGTCCAGCGTTCGCATCTTTCTCTCGCCGATTAGCCACGGTGGTTTAACTTCTCCTTCGGATTTTTTTTACTTGTATTTGCGGTGACACAAGGGACGAATTCTAGGATGGAGGTGGAAGGATTTGGAAGAATCAGATGTGCCTAGGTGATTGTTTTACACGTTAAAATACGGTGCGACTTTATTTCACTAACTTTGCGTTGGTTTTTTAATTTGATATGTTGTTTTGGTGTGTGAAAATCAAAGAACTTTTAAATGTTTGCGAATTTGGTTGACACTTAAGTGCAATTCATTTTGGTCAAGGCTTTGGTTTGTGGCCAGTTGGAAATCATTTTGCTAAAATAAGAAATTATCTCTTTTAGCCGTTTGCAATTGCCTTTTCAATTGCCAATTAGTTTTACGGTAGAACTCAATTTCATCATATGCTATCATCTCCAAGAGGATTCGCTTCAGCAGGGCAACCTATCTTCGACCACAGCGATTTCACACAAGAATCCTGAACCAAAATATACAAAGGCTGTCAGAGTAAAAAGCATAAACATGCAAATGCATTTGATTGCTAGTGCATGTAAACGCCGGTTACGAAAATGATTCTGAATGATCGAATCATCTTTACTGTCCCATGTAATATGTCTAGAACCCAAACCGGCTCACCACTTTCATTCTTTCTGTTTCTAGGACAACCTAGAACAAAGCTACATAAAATACACACCGTACCTCCGCAACTACACTCGATGAGCTTGTTCATGACCAAATAAAATAAAACTACAACTTGTACGCTAATTCTTGAAGTAAGCCTACGTAACTAGAAGTTCATATATGTGCTTTCAATTGTTCTTACTGAGCTCATAAAAATATAGATGAAAGGACACTTCGCTCACAAAATCAGCCCAATGTCTGACCCGCCAGACACATCCAGAATGATTATGCAAGGGGCAACTGAAGCCCAATTTGGTACAGTTTTTCAGAGAAGATTTTGGTTTCCAGCCCAGCTTTTAGGCACTTTGCCGGAAAAGGTATCCAGGGAGAGCATGCCATGGGATCAGTTCAGCATTCTTATTCATTATCAGTGTTTTAAAAAGCTAGTTTTAAGACTCGCCTAGGTGGTTTTTTGGGGCCAGGGATATGAAGGAAACGTCTCTGCTCGGCGGGAGACTAGCCTAAATGCTTAGGCTATCACCTTAGGCGGCTAGGCGACATGGACGTTTGAATTTTTTTTTTTTTTTTTAATTTTTTTTTTTAAAGCCCATCCCAAAATGACACCATTTTGGGCAAGTTTCTATAAAATTCATGCTCATTTTATATTTCTAACGTTTCTATTAGTTTATTATGACTCTGTAATGTGAATTAGAGAAATAATAATAAGTCAAATATTTTCTTGCTTGGCATGGTTGTTTGATTGTTTTACAAGGTATTATATTTATATATATATATATATATATATTAACTATAATAATAATTTTAGGTACCATGAGGTTATTGCCTCATGCCTCAAGGCTATCGCCTAGGCGAGACTATGCATGAAACACCTTGGCTTTACTTTCACCTTTTAAAACATTATTCATTATTATTCCCTGCTTAAATACCATAAGTTCTAAATTAACATTTATGTCTATGCTATTCATCTGTAACATTCCAAATGCCTAACTAATCTGATGAAATCATGAGATCTGTGAAAACATAGCCATGGACAGCGAAAAACTAAGGTCAGCTGCAACTGATGATAGCATGTGGTAATTAATGCCTGCAATTTAAAATGCGGTTTAAAAAGCCCCTAAACAGTCTCGGATGGCTAAAACTATCAGATGTAGCAAAGCAGTGTGTTTGAACTAGGCCATCCTCTTTTCAAAAACGTATCATGGACCAAAACAGAGATCAGACATTAAATCTACGTTCTTGTCTTCCTTGGGTCCATTCTCAAGCAACCAAATATTCTTTTTCCTCTTTTAACGTCATATTTGATATTTGAGTGAAGTTTTTCTTTCATGAGTCATTTCTTATCAACTTTAAAGTGTTTCATTTTCTTTATTTTTCTTCGTAGAAATTCAGCCAAAAATTGTCCTACATCAAACAAGGAAAGAGGATAGAGAATCGGGTAAAAAGGCTAGAGGATAGAGAGAGGTGGGCATGGGTGGAGAGGATAAGAGGGGAGAGAGAGAGTTATGTGACAAAAGAGAGATATAAGTGATGGTGGGAAAGAGAAAAAAAGCCGCATGCAAGATGAGAGAGAAAGAAAGCGTGTATGTCAGTGTGTACGATGTGCGTGTCAGTATGTGTGAAAGCCTGCGCATCTTTATGCGTGTGGCATGTGATGTGTAGAATGTGACATTTGTTCTTTCTATTCTAATATTAAATAAAGTTATTAAAATACTTTTTGTTAAAATTTAAAGAAAACTAATGAATAGTTTGAAAATTTTAAGTTTTAATCAAAATGATAAAAATATGTTATAAGTAAATAGTATCAAAATGACTTTTTAGAGTAACAGTGTCATTTTCATTAAAAGTGAATAATACCGAGAATGTTTCATTAAAACTCTATAAAATCTAAAGTTTTGAAGCTTTCTTTTATTAGTTTCCTTTAAACCTGACTAAGCGACAGCCTAATCACCGCGTAAAGTCTTCACCAATTTTATATGCTCTAATCAAATGTGAAAAATAAAATATACAAACTACAAAGTTTCCGTAGAAAATTAGAAATAGAAGTTAACGAAAAGGACATGGGTAGTTTGGTCATTCCACAACGACAATCCAAAAAGAACACAGTAACACACGGCGGAAACCTGGGTACTAGATATCCAACACCAACTCCCACAAAAAATGATTGCAGGCAAAGCAGGAATCAATGGACCCAAAGCCGATCATCACGGTCCTTTTCTTAATCTCCGCCACCGTCATCGCCGACCAAGAATACGTCCGACCGCTGCCTCGCAAGGCCCTCCATTTCCCATGGAGTCGAAAACCCTCTTCTCTTCCCCAGCAGGTGACTTAATCATCACCTTCTCATCTTCTCGCTGCTCCGTCTCTTTCACTTTCTGGGAATGTCAAGAGTTCTGGGGATAAAAAATTGGATCCCAACTAGATTTTCTATCGAAAGCCAGAAAATTTTTCTCCGTTTTAACTTGGGTTCTGTTTGTTTTGCCAGAAAATACTTTCCTTTCTGTCTAAGCTTTGTTTTTTATTTACTGTATTTTTGTTGGTTTGTTTAGTAACTTGATTATTACTGGTTTATGCTTAGTTAATTGATTGAATTGCAGAAAAAGAAAAAGTTCTGAAATTTTGTTGCTATTTAAACGATGTGTAGAGCCCGTTAGTCTCAGATTAACATAGCATGGTTGGAAATTTATCGAAATCGAGAGGGGTCATTGTGTTGGTTTGCTGAGTGTAATGCTAGTTTTTGTTTGTTGTTGTGAGTTTTGTGGTAGTGTAAGATTAACAGGTCTTGTTCCAAACTGTCGTTTTCAATCGTAGGCGAAATCGAGTCCCAATAAGAATCAAATTCATTCTGACCAAAGCAACCTATCTCCATCTGATCAGTCATTCGACTGACCGTTGTCCACTCGATTTTTCTGTTCTTTTTCATTCAAACACTAGGTACTGAACCTACGACCGAATCATTTTGTGTTGCGCCCTGAGCTGCACAGCACATTTTGTTCCTATGGCTACTTTAACCAGCACCATATAACCTCTACATCCCCATATGCAGCCAATTTCGATGCCTTTGCCTAGGGCCACGCTTGCTAATGCCTCTAGTCAATTAAGCCTCGTGATTTCATACCAAGGATCTGGCCATTTATGATCTTAATTCATGAGCCCTCATGGCTGGGTATGGGAGAAACAAACATACTTCATATGAAAAGATTACTGGTCAATTAATTGGATGCATGCATTCTGTGCTAAACCGAAATCAAGTGCAGTTTATCGCTAAAGTATAATTGGCATGTTAATTTATACTCACTATATTAAATTTGGAGTTCTTGGATGTTATGATTGGTTGGTGACATTATTATCATTGATAGTGACATAACCTATGCTAATTCGCATTTGGGCCAAGTAATTTGTATGAATTAGGTCTTTGTCTGATATTTTATCTTTAATGACTCCCAATTCCATAACGTTCTTTAGGGTTTATTAACGTTAAGCATACCCTAAATATATCATTTTCTGCAAAAATGCCTATTGCAGGTGCACATCTCTTTTGCAGGAGACAAGCACATGCGGGTGACATGGGTCACTAATGATAAATCTGCTCCTTCCGTTGTTGAATATGGAACATCATCTGGGAAATACAGTTCTGTAGCTCAAGGAGAAAGCACCTCTTATAAGTATATTCTCTATAGCTCAGGAAAGATACACCATACTGTCATTGGGCCTCTTGAACATGACACCGTTTATTTCTACCAATGCGGAGGCCAAGCTCCTGAGTTTCAGTTCAAGACCCCTCCAGCTCAATTTCCAATTACTTTTGCTGTGGCTGGAGATCTTGGACAAACTGGATGGACGAAGTCAACGCTAGACCACATTGACCAGTGCAAATATGATGTGCATCTGCTTCCTGGAGACCTTTCATACGCTGATTACATTCAGTCTCGGTGGGATACATTTGGTGAGCTGGTGCAGCCACTTGCAAGTGCAAGGCCATGGATGGTAACCCAAGGGAACCATGAAAAGGAAAATATACCATTTTTAAAGGATGGGTTTCAATCCTATAATTCCAGGTGGAAAATGCCGTATGAAGAAAGTGGATCAAGTTCAAATCTTTACTATTCCTTCGAAGTTGCAGGTGTCCATGCTATCATGCTCGGTTCATATACTGATAATGATGAGTATTCAGATCAATACAGGTGGCTGAAGGTTAGTCAAATTTCTCTTCTCCTATCAGAAGGAACAGATTTTTTCTTCTACATTAAATAATGCACAGTATATTAGTAATATTCATTCTTACTCTTTATCAGTAGCTTCTTGGATCTTGTAAACGTTTACGGTATGTGCCATCTGTTATAGTTCATAGTTTATGTGACATATTCACATATGTCCTACTACGCTGTTGGAGGCTAAGAGTTTTGTCTGATTTTCTAGATAATGGGTGAACATGACATGCCTTCCATATGTCTTCATGTATTTCCTCGTCAGAAACTTGGAAATTTCAATCCTGGGTAGAAGGGATGGGCATTGGGCACCCATTGGGTGTCACGGATGTGGTGGTGGTGTTGGTGGTGTTGGTCCCTAGTGAGCAGTAATATACGTGTATATGCACAATAAGTAAGTGAACCTATTCTAACAATCCATCACAAAATAAGTTGGTGCACAAGTTAGGGAGGGTCAGAAAATCTTTGGAGCCTCATCTGAGGAATTAGAATCATATAAAAAGGAAATTCATTAACATAAATCTCGTTGGGGTGTTGTTCCCAGTGTAGCCTGTGGCACCTCAATCTTAAAGCAGGCCTTGAACAATGAGGGGTCCATATTTGAATAATTTGATGTCATTCTTCTGAAACAGGCTGATCTTGCAAAGGTTGACCGACAGAAGACACCTTGGCTGCTCGTGCTCTTTCATGTTCCCTGGTACAATAGTAACAAGGCTCATCAAGGTGAAGGGGACAGCATGATGGCAGCAATGGAGCCATTGCTTTATGCTGCCAGTGCGGATATAGTATTTGCTGGTCATGTTCATGCTTATGAACGAACGGTAAAGCTATACTAAATTGGCACGTATTTCTGTTGTAAATATAGGTCACTCAATTTTAATCCATGATGTCTTGTTTGACAGAAACGCGTGAACAATGGAAAATCAGATAGATGCGGTGCTGTCCACATAACCATTGGTGATGGCGGAAACAAAGAAGGCTTGGCTCGCAAGTATGTCTCTGTGCTCAAAAGATATTCAAATTTGCAATTTAGGAAAATAGAATGTTTGTTCAACTCTCATGTGCTTGGAAAAAACAATCATCTGATCGGTTTGCATGGGATGAGTTCTGGACATTTGAATTTTATATTGTCCCTATGTAGCTAATATTCAGCAAATACGAATCTCATTGGCATTGGTTACTAACTGCTTGTTCCAATCCCTCACAAATTGGCAGGTATAAAAACCCACCACCCGAGTGGTCAGTTTTCCGGGAAGCAAGTTTTGGTCATGGTGAGCTGAATATAGTGAATTCAACCCATGCTTTTTGGACCTGGCATAGGAATGATGACGACGAGCCTATTAGGTCCGATCAGGTCTGGATAACCTCGTTGGTTAGTTCAGGATGTGTTGCAGAGAAGACACATGAACTAAGGACAATACTTACGGAACCGTAGAGCTTGTAATCACATGAAGTTTGTCTCTCTTCTGGTTGGCGTGTTCGTAAAATTGGCTTTCTGCAGTTTGAATGTGCACGCACTTCTGTGTAGGTGTCAAACTTTATACCACATATATGGTAGAACTTTCCTTTTAGTTTTGTAAAATGTAACATATATACAGTAAGATTCTCCCTTTATGTTGTTCTTGGTAGCATATATTATGTATTTCTGGTTATACATTAAAACCGAGGCTTCGGTTATACAAAACTCAGGTTAAATGGGCGTTTCCAAGTTGTTTCCTTAGACATTCTGAACGAGGGATAGAACTCAGGAATCACTCAACTAGGGTCAACAGAATCACTCACATTGCTAATCGTGGATTCACTCGAAACGATCAAATTTCCCACTTGATTACATTTGGAGCCCTTTAAATAGGAAGATTATGACGCATTTGTAGGGTAAATATTTAATAGTAGGATAGTTACTAGGCAACTCAATTAAAAGATAAGGATCTCTTTTAATGGTGGATACGATATATGAAATAAGGTGAACTATATCTCAACGGTAGATACGATTATGTAACTTCCATCATTTCACCGAAAAACCCGTCACATTTCACTATAAATGAACTTGGATACTCTAAGTGGTGAAACCATTACAAATGAAATTGAGTTCATAGCAATGAGTAATCCAAAATGGCAGAGCATTGAGACCCTTACTAGATTTTCTTTTCATTCTTTTAAGTTTCTTCAACCACAGGAACCGGAGGTGGAGATCAAGGAAACTAGTGTTAATATGGTGATGACAACGCTGGTGGAGAGGTGAAGAGAGCGGAGCCCTGAGATGGGGGCGGTGCGGAAGATATCCCTCAGAAGTGCAAGGAGGAGCAGACACTTGTATCCTGCAGAGCATGTGTTTATAACTACTCTAAGAGGAGAAACTTTTATGTCCATCCAGAGGACCACGTCATCCGTATGCCCACACAGACTCAAGCAGAGATTATCTCTATTAAGAGTATTAGCATGGGAAGATTTCAAAATGCCTATAATCCGACCCTCCCAGAGAAGGTATCAGTTGGAAAATGCTTAGAAAATAGCACCTGTCTTCTTCAGGTGCCATGTTCGTGATAGGGTCCCATTCCTTGGCAAGAGCATTCAAGTTGCTCTGGAACGGAGCAACCCTTTCATCACAGACATCATTGCCAGCCCCTGCAGGACAACCCAAGTAACACAACATGATCCATCGAAAAAGGAATATGAGTTAGAGAAGGAGATTTTTAAGTCTACTTAGGAAGAGAGAGACTGCCTCTATGTGAGCGCCTAGTTTTGTAACGAATGTGTCTGTTTAATAAGTTATTTTGAAAACAATGACATTTATATTAAAGGATGAGGGAATTGCACTAAAGACCTAGTCATAATAACTAGTTTTGACAGCCCTATTATCTACAACTACGAGAGTCGAACCTAAGACTTCTCACTTACAAAGAAGAATATTAGTAGTACTAAGTGGTTGTTGCCTCATAAAGTTAAACATTTGATCTTATAATATAAAGATCTAGAAGCGAAAGTGGAACAAGGTTCTAGTTCATAGCGTATAGCCAAATTAGCACAATTCCTTTATTGGTAAACTTATATCTTATAAATGAACCCAAAAAAATAAATTGTATCGTATACATATGCAGCTGTAGGCTCAAAAAGGAAAGTGATTACAGTAGAAATTATTTGAGGTTTGACTACTACTACTGCTTTCAACACCATTCTCCTCCGAACTACTTTGTTCCTCTATTATCCAACCAACCATAATCCGCAGATCACTCCTTTTCGGGCTTTGTTACTCTACTGTTTGAAGAGGTTGGAGATGAACTAAAGTTTAGATATTAAAACAAAAAGGAACTTACGAATAAACCAGAAAGTTAGATCTTCTAATTCAGTTGTTTCGCATTGTTGCCTATTATTCCAGGCCTTGCAAGTCATAATTATACCCTATGACGATGAATAATAAACTCTTGATCCCTTCACTGGTTATGCGATTCTTGTATACCAAATTTCAGTAAATGACCGTTGGATCTTGGATGATGCTAAACTAAACTGTTAGAAATTTCTATACAACTCGATTAGTTGGGTTGAAAACCCACCGCGCACTAGGCCCCACCCCAGTACAGAGTTCCAAACCTGCGCACCCCAAAGCTATAACAAGCTTTGAAGGCCCCAAAAGGGCCAAAACACAAAAGGATAACTAGTACGGGAAGACTGGTAACTAAATGCTGGAAGAATAAAGGTTGACAAGGGAATGGTAGTCAGATGTCATTTAATTTTTCGTCTTTGGCATGCAATATTCAAGCACAATGTGTAAAAGTTCTGAGATTATAACTTGCTGAATAGAGCATTGCAATTTGCATTGGAGGTTTTTTTCAAGAATTGAGTACCAAACCTGGCAGCACTTAAGCATCTGCGGACATTTTACTTCTATCCGTGCACTCGGGGTCTTGCTTTTGATCCCTCTTCCCCCTCCAGAGGATAATCTGCTCGTCCTTGAACAAAAGGGGGATGCAAGGTACTAGATCCTGAACATATAAAGCACAGAAAAAAGATAAATTTAGGGATGAATTAGAAGCCCACAACTACCACTAAACAATCTAACTTAACCAAACAAACCATACCCTTAATTTTACACCTATCCTTTTGCAATCGCTAGTACCAACATGGGTGCAGTCTAGTCTCACTACCTCTTCAGTATTGAAGGCCTCCCTAACTCTATCCACAACATTCACATACACACCATTTCTCGCTGCGGACAAAAAAATCAGGATAAGAGAAAAGAACCATGGAATTCGGCCATATCACATTTACCGTTATAAACAACAAAGGAAAGCAGAGCATCATCTGAAACATCCAAAACTTAATTTCACTTACTAAGTTCACTTATTTTAAAATGCGACACTTACTAAGTTTCATCAGAGGTAAAGAGTTTAGTCCTATGTTTCTTAACTCCTTCGTTCCTTCAAATGTCAAGCCGTCAGCAACATTCTTCACAAGCTTTGGATATATCGGAGGATACGGCTTCCAGAGCATTACAGGTATTACCGGTCGATTCTTCGGATCATAGTTTCGACCCCGGTATAAAATGAGGACATTAATATGCCGGTAAACAATCTTCCCACCAGACTTGTCCTGCACATACACTACTATCCCCATCAGCTAATATCTCCTAACACCGAAATTCAACCTATTACGGATATATGAAGAGCCTGAGTTACGTTCAAACCTCAAGGTGGAAGCAAACATTGTCCATATCAAGAGTTGGCACTCCCAAACACTTGATCCTCACCGCTTCCGCTCGCTTCCAGTGGTTGTGGATATCATCCAACATGTTATGTGTAACTCCTCCCTTTCCTGATACAAACAATTTAATCCTTCAGTCCCCTCTCATCTAATTCAATTACAACATCAAACCAGCATTGAGCATATATAAACAGTTACACATATACAATGCAATGCCTGATCAATTTCCGAATGCTAAACCCTAAACCCCAAATCCCTTACCCATATTAATTTGCCGGGCGCAATCACTATGACGGTACCGTTCCACCAGCTCCGCCACTTCCTCCTCCGCTAGCGGGTCTCCGATAACCCGTTTTCTCTCCTCCGCAACCCGGTCCAAGTCCACTTCTTGTTGTACCGCGGCAACAGTCCCGGTCCATTTCCGATCAAGCCGACCAGGTCCGAAAGGAGAGAACTTGGGCGACTCCCGGAACGCAATAGGTTCGACCGCCGGATTGGTCTCCGAATACGAGTAGCTGAAGTCGAAGGGCAGGTCCGATTTGAGAGGACGGTTCGGGTCGTTCTTCGGGTCTGGAGCTTTATCCTGGGTTTTGGTTTTCTTGGGCTTTGGGGTTTTGGAAACCGGAGAGAACGGAGGGTCGTATTCATATGGGTCCTCGGATAGGGATTGACTGAGAAGGCGGGAGAGGGAGAGGAATGGTTTGGTCAGGTCTAGGGTTAGGGTTTTGTGAGGTGAGGGACGCCATGAAAGTAGCTTCAGCATTGCAGCAGAGAGTGGAGTTTGGTTTGGTTGCTAAACAGATACTCGGCATTGAGAGTGTTGAAGAAATGGGCAGAATTGTCATTTAGCGTTGCAAATTAAGGAATAATATCGTAATTTCGTTGCCACAGTACAATACGCATGTCGTCTATATTTCCTCGTGCAATGAAAATTAGTCCCAAAACAAAACGTAACATATGTTGTTGATAAACTTTTGACAAGATAGAGATAATTTGATGTGTTTTCATATAATGGACCGTAAATTTGAAGGTTCGTTTGATGCGTATTTTATTTTAATTATTATTCTTGTACCATAGATAAAGAAAAAGTATGTGGGACACAAAAAATAATAATAATAACTGGTGGTAAATTATATTTATTTATTTCTTTTAGGCTAAGAGAGGCTATCTAAAATTTTACTCTGTTTGTGATTATAGTCAAATAGACTCATCAGTTTGAAGCATAGAACCCAAAACCTACCACACTTTTTTGTTTATTAAGGAGTCGCACTTCATGCCCTTATCACTGAACCATTTACTATGATTAAGGAGAAAATAATGTTAGACAAATTAAAGTTGTGCACCAATTTATTTGCTCAAATAATGTGTCGCTAATTAAATGAGAATTGTTATTGGCACTCCAAAAATCTCATTCTATATCCAAACTTTCTATATTTGGAAAGAAAAATACACTTGTGAAGAGTATAGAATGAGATTTTTGGAATGCCAATAACACTTCCCAATTAAATTTGTATTTTAATTTAAATTAGGGCATATAATTAGTAATTGTAATAAAAGCGCTTTAGTTTATAAAAATAGAGTTTTAACGAAAAACTCATGGTACTGTTCACTTTAACAAAAAAAATCACATTTTTACATTAAAAAGTCAATTCTAGTACTATTCACTTTACTCTTTATTTTGTCCTTATCATTAAACTCAAAGTTTTCAAACCATTTTCATTAGTTTTTTTTTTCTTTTATAAAAATTATCATTTAACAAATATTTTAAAAGTACTTTTAGTTAGGGGGAAAAAAAAAAAAAAAAAAAAAAGAAGTACTTTTCTTCCTCCACTCCCTTCCTTGTCCTTCATTTTTCCCTTATACTTTCACTTTTATCTCTAGCACAAAAAAGAAAAATACACATCTCAATATCGCTTTCATCATCACTGGGTTTCGGGATGATGCAAAACTGTGCAAAAGCAGAATCGGTGACAAAACTCAGTCCCGCCCCGGCGAGACATTGCTTAATCTCTCTTCTTTACATTGAATTTGGTCCTCGACCATTGAGTCGAAAACATCCAAGAGGTTGTCCAGCCCCTCAGGGCTGTCCTCTACTGCCTTCAGGGCATAAACAATGCTCTCAATGGTGGACAGAAATCCCGGCTTCGACTGCAGCCTCACTTCACTGTGCAAGCTCATCTTGTCCAAATTCAACTTGAAGTGCGGCAAGAGTTTCAACCAGAGGTTTTCCCCATGCATTCTCTTTGCCTTTGCCCATGTTCCGTCCCGCACTATCAGATTGTTCACCTTAACATTCATCGCCTCAGGGTTGTCCGCACTGACTGTGCAGCGAACCCCTTTGCCAGAGCATTACGCGCTTCTGCGATGTCTAAAATCGTATCAAACTTTTTATCCTCACACGGTCGAGGCAACCAAATGTGGGATAGAGAGCTAATGACACCATGCTTGCCAATGGTAGCAGCTATAGCCTATAACAGGTGCACCATTATCCATTTCGACACTTTCACCCGAGCCATGAACTACATCAAAAACCCTTGATACTGCAGGCAACGCGGTAGTAGGTGAACCCTCATCGACATTGCATTGCCCATCTACGTTCCTGCCATCAGTGAATTCTTCACTACACTGATATTTTTGAGTCCTAATCTAGCAATCCTAGTGGAATTAAGTGGGTGGTTCTTCTCTAGGCTGTGTTGAAGAATGGTGACGCTTACAGAGTTATGGAGCCCCGGGTTCTGAATCCGAGTGCAGAGGCAGACCCGGACCGGTTTGGAGCACAATGGGCATATGGGTCGTTTGGAAGCGGGCTGAGTAGTCACCATTTTTAGGATTTGAGGGAGAAAGGAAGGGTTTTGGAGAAGTGAGCAGAAATTGTTCTTTCGGGTCCGAGAACCGAACAAGCATCAATTGGTTCGAGTGGCCATGATAGAAAATGAAAAAGTTGAGTCAGTCAGTCATAAGAAGACGGGTGGCTTAACGTTTTACAAGATGACGTGTCGTTTTATAAAAGAGTATATAAAGTCATTAATGAATATGTAGAATTAGATTGGATAATTACAAATAGCCATGTTTTACTCACTAAAGAAATTTATGAACTTTTCCAAAATGGAATTATAAGAATGGTTTAAGTTTTTTTTCGATATGAAAAATCATTCCTTTCAGCATTTAATATATTTTGAATATGATGAATTATTCAATCCAATTCAATCATATACCGAATAAATATCATATTTTCATAATAAGTTAGTTCTTCCAAGAGTAGCCGCAACAAGTTAAGCAATTTTGAAAAAAAATAGTTGAGCTACAACCATTATGGAGTGCCTCAATGGTTGGGGACGAATTTCTGATTATATTTCACATGACACGTCATAAGTTTGATTTCTCATGCTTGTGAATCACACGATGATGACTACAAAGAAGCCAAAATGCTTCGATGAGTCTTTTTAACCCAAAAAAGTTTGGCTGCCATGCGTGATATGTACATAAATCTTATAAAAATTCATAATGAGGTAAATCACTCTCCTCATTTTATAAATTAATTTGGGTGTAACATAAATTTCCTTTTTAATAACAAATAAGTATCCTTCATGTTGTCGAACAAATATCATACTTTAATATATCATGAATATAGTGAATTATTCATTTCAATTTAATTATAATGACTAAATAAATATTATACTTTTATAGTAAGCTAGCTCACCAAAGAGTAGCCACAAGTTAAGCAATTTTGAAAAAATAGTCCACAACCATCAAAGGATGGTTGTGCTAGGTAACGAATTTCTAACTCGTATACCATACAACATGTTCTGAATTCGATTCTTCACGCTGATGAATCACACAATAATGATTAAAATGAGGTTAAAATATCTCTGTAAGTCTTCTCGACTCCTAAAAATGTGAAATGTCATGGCTCGAGCAACTCTCTTTGTAGTATATGAAGAGGTAGTCCATTTTATCAATTAATTTTAGGTGTAACATAATTTCCTTTTTACAATAAGGAAAACTAATGAAATGTCCTAAAACACTATAGTTTTAATCAAAGGATAAAATAAATGTTTAAGTGAATATTACCCAGAGTGACTTTTCAAGGTTAAAATGTCATTTTCATTAAAAGTGAATAATATCAAGAGTGTTTCATTAATATTCCCATAATAAGGAAAGAGATCATCTCCTTATCATTTCCACCAAATCCACCAATCCAGTTCTTGAAATTTGATCGAAAGGCTAAAAACAGGGATTGCCTTTAAAAATTATAATAAATTTAGCCATTCAATCAAATTTCAAAGATTCGAATTGGTGGATTTGTTGAAATGGATCCTCATTATAATATCAGAGGTAGATTCTCTGCCCTCCCATGTCCTCCTGTTTTGTGTAGTCAAGGTTAAACCACGTTAACATTTTATATTATTTTTTTTTATAGAGATAATAAGACAAAAATAAATAGTAATATAAAATATTTACGTGACTTAACCGTGACCATATAAAATAGAAGAACACGAAAGACACCGAAAATAGGAGGGTAGAGAATCTATCTCCTATGATATCATAACAGCTAATCTTGAAACAATCAAATCAAGCTCAGTGGTTGAAAAATAAAAATCAAAACACAGGAGTTGGTAATGATTGGCTAGATGAGTTTTTGGACCGACTGATTCCACGCGCCAATCGAACACGAAAGTCTTTGCCTTTAAAATTTTTGTTTCTTTGATTTGTGAGGGATAAGATAAACTAGTGTAATTTTCCCAAGAATCTGAGAGTTTTCCCGGAAACCCAGTTGGAGAAAATGCACGATTTCTGCTTGACGATCCCCTACGGCCTGGTGCTGATCGGCGGAGGAGTTTTTGGGTATTTCAGGAAGGGGAGCACGGCTTCTTTGGCTGGAGGAGCAGGTATCGGATTGCTCCTTACTCTTGCTGGATATATCAGTCTCAAATCCTTCGAGGGGAAGAAGAACTCGTATCCTGCTTTCATTCTTGAAACGGGTACGATTTATTTATTTGGATTTTGGAATTTTGGTGGGTCTGGATCCCAGATTTGTAACGATACTTTAGTAAGATCATAAGACGTTAAAAGGGGAAATAAATAAAAACAAACAAACCAAACATAATCTGGATCACATATTAGGTAACTTTCGTTGTTTGATGTACTTGGTAGCATCAACTTTGCTGATAGTTATGTTGGAAATTTGACTTTTGTTTTGTTTTGTTGAGGCTGTTATTTTGTTTCCTCTAATGATCCGGAAGCCTTGTGCTTCTGCAAAAGTGGAAGACTTTACTTGTTAAAACTGTTTTTAGGTTTGTCGTTTAATCTCTGTTTTTTGTATGTCGTTATGGAGAAAAACTTACATGTAACTCGGGCGAAGGTGGGGATATCCCAAATTAATCACGGAAGGCCATGTGAGTAAGTTAAAAACACGGCAGTGCGTATAGGCTTGGATATCGCCACCTTAGCATCCCCGTTGTATGTTAAGAGAGAGGCACTTTTTGTGTAGAGTAATGCTAGACGCACCAAAGTAAATCCCATAGTTATGGTTCTCCGCTTACTTTATTTGTTTATGTCTCAGCTCGTTCTAAGGTTTATTTATGTCACAGAACTAAAGAGTTATGCATTAGTCAATGCAGTAAGTTTCGATTTGGTAGGGCGATTTGAAAGAAGTGCATTTAGGTGTTATGTGTTCAGCATTGCCTATCAAATTTTAAGAATTGTAAGAATTGAAGAGATTGAGAAAGATTATATTTTTATAAGGTCACATTCTTTGGTTTTCCTTGTATTTTTTTCTATTTTCATGTTCTGCTCCTGTTACCTTGATGCTCACTCACTTGAAACGTTGTTTTGGAATTGATTGGTGTGCATTTAACAGTTTGTGCTGCTCTCCTTACATGGGTCATGGGACAGCGCTATATGCAAACTTCTAAGATCATGCCAGCTGGTGTTGTTGCAGGTATCAGGTGAGTTCAGATTAATCCGCTGTTTTATGTGTTCTTGCTCTCCAATTCGTTGGATATATATTTGCTAATCTAAAATTTGGTGTGCCATCAGTCTGTTGATTGTTAAACATGAGATGTACGGTCAGTACCTTATGCATGTGATTTGAATTTTATTGCTGCATATGACTTGTTTCGTACATTGCTGCCCCTGTATTTTATTTCCAGTTAACTACCTTCGATTTGGTTGTTTAGAATATCTTCCTTCCCCTTCCTAGCTGGCATTGTTAAATAATTAATTTGAAAGAAAAATTTAACTATTACTCGTTGGTCTGAGTAGGTTTGAGTACCTGAGGTATGCGGAACATGTTTCCTTGCAGTTAGTGGTTTGGGGATCGTAGGTTCTTGTTCCCAGAGACATGTAAAAGTATAAAGTAGTTCTGTCCATGATTGGCAGATGTCATAATTTTTGTCTCGAGAACAGCCTGTTTACAGCCCTTCAAATTTTATAATTCTAGTTAAAACTTGGCTCTATTGATTGTTCATCCGAATACACATTTGGATATCGAATTGTCAGAACAAGGTTGATCTGCTCCGTTGAAACCTTTGTAAGAAATTTAGTTCAAGAGAGTTCCAGATCCCGTATATGTTGCAGCACGATCAGTGCCAACAGAGAGTTGGAATGTCATCTAATTCCTGCTCCTGTTATAGGTTAAACAGTATGGGAAAGGGGCCTTCTATTTCTTGTTTGGTTGTGCATAACGAAGGGAAGGCGATGTGTCTTTATCAGATTATAAACTTATAAAGTCATCTTTGGTTATCGTATTGTAGTAACCGCGTAGCCTTTCTGTCATTGTCATGAATCCAAACTGAAGACCACAATTTACGTATGATTAAAACCTTTCGATTGGAGCTCCTAACAGTTATATGACTTATATTTGAAGTTTCTAAAGCTAAAACCTCTTCATTTTGTTGCAGCGCTGTCATGACCGGATTTTATTTGTACAAAATTGCAACTGGTGGAAACCATATTCCGGCCAAAACCAAGTGATGGTATTTGAGGACTTCTTTCCACAACGTATAAGCTGACTCTAACTTACACTCATCCAGATGCCCATATTTCATTTCACTAAATCGTTAATGGATATAATATCATGAGATACTATACTATGCTGTCACAAGATACTACGTTAATCTATACAAAATCTTGTTTCATACCTTGCATTCCTCGTACTTTTAATCAAATCAATGAGATAGACTGGCATTTTTTTGTATTATTTTCTTTGCTTAGTTAAACTCATGTTACTGCAGGCGAGGGGAATGCCTTCAGAGGATGAGAAATAACCCAACTTTCTCATCCATGAAGTATAATTGCTTGTTTTGGAAGCAGGAACTAGTGGGATGGACTGGAAAAGTTCTATTAAAATGGGGGATTCAAATGAAAACTTATAAACCATCCTCATGCGTGCACCAACTGTAGCCAGTTTTTACTCCGATTTGAATCGGTGAGTCGTAGGAAACAGTTACCCTTCTAAACACACCAGAGAGAAAACCTCTTCACTTCGAACCTGAGACAAATCTGAACTGCATCGAAAACTCTCTAACTCTCTGCAAAACTCTGTGTAACCTTTATACTTACTGGTGTGAGTAAGTTTGTACACCGGAGGCATGCGGAACTTGTGTTGATGTGGTCAGTGGTTTAGGGATACCAGCTTCATTATCTCATACATTTAAACGTAGAAACTGGCTCCGTCAAAGATTAGCAGATGTGATATATGCTCTCTTAAGCAGATTCTCATGAATTCTGCACTCTGCTTGTTTGAAAACAGGAGTATATAGATGCATGTGAGGTTTTATTTCTGTGGGAAACTCGTTTGGTGGCCAGGATTGAATTGGAGTGTATAATTCACCGTATGCAGTGTATGGATTAGCCGCGAAGGAAACTTCTTTTCCACCTCAGTAGGATTGGAAGCAGTCCTTTTGGCCATACTCTCTAGGGAATCAACCATCTCGGTTAATCCTATATTCTAAAAACTATAATTTTACATTAAACTAAACTCGTCCTTCGCCTCGTGCTTGCCAATTGACTTTTTCAGTTACCGTCCGATGTAGATTGTTCTGTAGCATTAATAGTTGGAATCTCCAAAGTTTCATCGGACGTAGCCTTTGCCACCATGTGCTAACTTCCAGTTACGTCCGGACTTTGTCAACAACAACAATAAAGCCTTATTCCATTAAGTAGAGTCGGTTATATGAATCATAGAACGCAAGTGCAATTGTTTTTGAACCAAGTCTTCTTTTAGTTCTAAGTACTCCATCTCTTTTCTCAGCTCCAGACTTTATACCTAATAAAACATGAAATCATTAAGGGCATCAATGTGATGGTGACCAAATATCCAATGACCAAGAAAATTTAATTTGTCTCATACTATGTCTTTTAGTGTGATGGCAAAGATTGTCTTCATGCATTTGGGGTTTATGATTCATCAAACCAGTCTCTTGACTAGCCGAACGGACATTGCCATGAACTGATGTTTTTGCCGTCTTGCATTTGTTGTAGATCATCAAATCAATGTCTAGAGAACTTAGACAAACTTATGGTTCGAAAACTCCAAATCCTTCGAAAATTAAAATGTTCTCTATTGTATGACATACACCAGATGAATGAAATGATGGATCTGCGGCTAGAGGTGGATCCATGGAGAGACCACGGTGGTCCTAGGACTCTTCGGAGGCCGGAAAAATACCTATGAAGGTCTTTCAGGAACTCTCCAAATGTTTCGACAAGGAAACTGACCTACACCTAGGGATAGCATTCCAAATAGACTGAAAGAGTGATGAAGCCCTATAAGTTGACCTTTTATATTTAATGACCTAGCTAAAAATGACGTTTAGGTAGACTTTGTAATTTATAATGCTATTGTTACCATAATTTATGAATGAAGAGTTATTTTTTAATTTCTCAATGTTGTTTTATCCAATATTTTTTTTAGAACCTTTTACATTATAGGACCCTCGAGATCAAAATCTAAATCCGCCACTGTTTGCCGCAAAGACTCCAAAAACCAAGGGCGGCTAAAGATCCCAATTGAACACTAGACACCAGTGCTTACTAATCAAATGTGTACCAACAGATGCAAAACAACAAAGCATTATGCTTTTATATATCACTGCACTACGAACAGCTAAAACTTATCTTTCAAGCCAAACCTACCATCTTGATTTTTGCCTTGTTATCTCCAGACCTCCCCTTACTCGACTCCTATTTCTATCGAATTCAATTGCCTTTGATCCGTCTCTCTCTGTTGCACAACAAAAGCCACCCGAATCATGGATGCCCTTCTCCTCACAGTTTTCCTCTTCCTCATCCCCGTCTTCTTTCTCCTTACAAGAAGAAAAAAATCACCAGAACGGCTTCCTCCCGGCTCATTGGGACTACCCATTATAGGTCAAAGCCTTGGTTTGCTTAGAGCCATGCGTGCCAACACTGCCGAAAAGTGGCTTGAACGAAGAATCACAAGGTATGGTCCAGTTTCAAAGATGAGTCTCTTTGGCAAGCCAACAGTCTTCATTCATGGACAGGCTGCCAACAAGTTTGTATTCAACAGTGATGGCACATCATTTACCAGTCAACAACCTGAGTCTACACGTATGATTTTGGGCGACCGGAATATACTGGAACTGAGCGGCGAGGATCACAAGCGTGTCAGAAGTGCTCTTATGTTTTTCTTGAAGCCCGAGTCACTGAAGCGATATGTCGGAAAAATGGATGAAGAAATCAGGAACCATCTTGAGATGCACTGGCATGGCAAGCAAAAAATAACAGTAAGTTAGCGTCCTCAGCAACTTTTGGGAAACAGGTCATGTTTTTGCAGATTTCTGTTGTGTGTTGTTCGTGTTTTTTGCAGATTTCTGTCATGCGGTCTCAAATTTACTAGGTTTTTAAATTTTTGATAGGTTTTGCCACTGATGAAGAACCTCACATTCAACATAATATGCTCTCTACTTTTTGGGGTCGAACGAGGACCTCGCAGAGACGAACTCATTGAGTGTTTCCGACAAATGATAGAAGGACTCTGGTCAGTCCCTGTTAATTTGCCCTTCACGCGTTACAACCAAAGCCTCAAGGCGAGCAAGAAGGTTCAAAAAATGCTCAAGGAACTCGTATGTGAAAAGAGGGTACAACTTGAGCAAAAAACTACTTCTCCACTCCAAGATCTTGTAACTTGTTTGCTTAACATTCGAAACATTAACAACGAAGAAGAATTAACGGAAAATGAGATCCTGCACAATATCATGGTAGTTATGGTCGCAGGATATGACACTTCATCTGTTGTGATTACTTTTCTTTTGCGGCTTCTAGCGAATGAACCTGCTATCCATGCAGCCGTTCTTCAAGGTAAGCATAACGCATCCCGTGCCAACAACCTCACACACAACCATTTAACGCAAATCTAGCATGGAAATTGAAGTGTTCAATTTACCTTATTCGGTCTGATCACTAACAAGTTGGCATGTTCGTGATAGGGCATATTAATAGAATTGTCAACAATATCCAAAAACAACAAAAAGACTGATGCAATGTTTTAATTTGTGCTTTTGCAGAACAAGAAGAAATAGCTAGGAGCAAGTCCTCAGGAGAATTTCTAACATGGGAAGACCTTTCCAAGATGAAGTACACATGGAGAGTGACAATGGAAATTCTGAGGACAACTCCGCCCGTCTTTGGCGGCATGAGGACAGCTATCAAAGATACCGAGTATGGAGGATTCCTCATCCCGAAAGGGTGGCAAGTAAGTTAAGATTTAATATATCATGCAGTATACACATCTACAGATTTCACATTCCCCATTTCTTTTTTTTTTAAATTACAGAACTAGTGATGAAATTTTAACTATTTATCCGATATTGTTAGGTATTCTGGGCTATTCCTATGACACACAATGACGGTAGTATATTCCCGGAGCCATCAAATTTTGATCCGAGTAGGTTCGAGAACCAAGCATCAGTTCCGCCTTACAGCTTCGTTGCATTTGGAGGAGGATCTCGAATATGTCCAGGATACGAGTTTGCCAGGATTGAAATCCTTGTTTCAATCCATTATATGGTAACTCAGTTCACGTGGAAGCTATGCGCAGACAACAAATTCAGCAGGGTTCCCATGCCGGTACCTACACAAGGACTGCCTATTGAAATCATGCCACGGAAACCAATGAATTAAGTAGAGGTCGATTTGATATTATGATTGCGATTTGAGACAAATGTGCACTGTAGTAAGAGCTCGCAGTTTGTTAAATAAATAAAGAAACCCACAATAATTCATGATTTTCATTTATTAAAATATAAAATAAAAAAAATTTGTAACAAGTACATAAACCACTCGCCTCGATCGGTAGCTGAAACCTCAGCAAGACAAGCTTTCTGCCGAATCCCACCAAGACAACCAATTACTTTCTGTTCCTTCTTTTCCCTCCCCTCACTCTCTGCGTAAGCACTCTTACATTTCATGTATTGCATACTGGTTCACTCTTACTTGGTAACAGTAGGAACTACTCATAGGGAAATGATGGCGGCAATACTAGATAAGTCGGCTAGTTTGAGTGGATAAGATTAATTGGTGGAGATGTAGAGCTTGTTTGAAAGTGCTTTTAAAATGACTAAAAATACTTTAGAAAAATATTTTTAGATTTCAAAAGTACTTTAAGTGTGTTTTTAGGATTTACTTGCATTTTTACTAAGAATTGGTTCAAAAAACATTTTCACCAAAAATATTTCAACGATTTTCAAAACACTTCCAAACAAGTTCGTAGCTGCTGCTTAACTTGTAGACTATGTAATTTGGTTGGTCCAACATAAAGCAACAATGTATGTCCTGCTAAAGTTTACAGCTCCATGCAATGTAGGGTTGACATATCAAACTCTATACATGAATTGCTCCAAACAAACCACGACTAAATGCTAGCATCCAATACTCAACCTTGCTCACAAGGCATATCTATTGAAGATATTTTGGAGGTGATAAGAGGTGAAAGAAGTCAGTAGCAATGGAGAAGGGATATGACTTGTAGGTTATTTAATCATATTTGGGTTGGCCATGCAAGTAAAATTGGTTAGGCTTAAGATTGTAGTTAGTGTCTAACTAAATTAAAAGATTGAACAATCTGAAATAAGTTCTCGTGTGACTCCCTGAAACTGAAAAAATAACTAATAAATAATGAATAATTTTATTTGAACCCATATAACCTATTTTCACACCCAACTGACTTTTCATATCCATGTTATTTTTAAAGAAACTATCAATATCTCTTTAAACCCAAATTTATTACCTAAACCACCCTCACAAGCCTAGTTCAATATGTTTACATTTATCTTTAGACCCAATAGATTAAAAGAACAAAACCAGAAAATATGTTAAATTTCGTGTCAAGAGTGAACCATTTCATTAAAATAAAGACAAAACTTAAAAAAACAAAAAAAAAATTGATTATGTCAGCCACAAACTTTGAATAATTCTTTGTCCATCACTCTGGAATGGTCAATATTGTAACGACTCGTCCCAAAAAATTACAGCTTTTATAATTTTAAAATGTGAAATTATGAAAATGCCCTTCGAGGCAAAGGTGTTGACTTTTGTTGACCACCTTGTCGTGTCACATAAGATCTATTTTCTTGGCGTATACTCATAATACTCGTCACTACGAACGCGTGGGCACAAACAAAACATAATTTGGAGTTATAGCGAATGAGTTATTAACGAACAAAGTCGAAGGCAAAATGATCAATTGACCATAAATCTGGAAGGCTCCGGATTTTGTTGGAGCATCAGTCTGTGCCACGTTTGTGGCTGTTATGGAAAAGAAAGAATAGAAATGAGAGAGATGGGCAGAGGAGAGAAAGGAGAAAAGAGAGAAATGATGGTGGATGCCCAATTAGAAAGAAGAGAAAGAGAGAGTGACCAACTAGAGAGGAGAGAAAGGAGGGGAAAGAATATAGTGGATGAGCACCGGATCACCCTTAACCCGGTTCATCCCTGTCGACCTGACTCGATTTCTACACACCCTGATGCCGATTCCGGAGTTTTCTCGGCGAATTGATCGTCGCCATCACCTGCAACCTATTCAGCGACTTCCCATCTTCCATTTCGACCCAAATTTGAAGAAGTGTGGTCATAGTTTCACTAAGAACGGAACTCGTTGGTGTTAATGGGTGCACAGCAGCAATCCTCCATTTCTGAAGGCGATTCCTTTGACCACCACCACCATTAGCCTTCCCTTGAACCTAGGAACAAACCCCAAACAAGTTTGGAAGCGGCAAAGCTTGGGATTCGACAAATCAAGAACACACAATTCAAGGGTTTCCAGATGTTCAAGGATGATTTGGGGTATTTCCCAGCCGAATTGGACTTCTGCCCAAGTATGAAAGTTGTTCCTCTCATTGATATCTTCATTCCTATAAAATTTGGGAATTTTTGGAGTTGTTTGATTTGCTGGTGAGTTTGGGTGGCCGACCGCCACGTACGGCGACGTGTGGGGGTAAAACCCGAGGTCCCTCCTTAGGTTTCTTAACATGTTGAATCCAAATCCACCATCCATTTTTCTAAATTCCAACGTTTTCGTAGAGTTTTATTAAACTGCTTTTAATTTTGTTTAGGTGCATCGGTGGAAGTGAACACATCTCGATAGTTCAAGTGGCTTTCGGGCAATGGAAAACTTGTGAGTGGACCCCTTCTTAACTTATATATTTTTATAAAATATTAGCCTAGCAAGCATTCATATTTCATGATTATATGTTTTATAATATGCTTTACAGATTTCTATAACAATGATTTATGAAATATTCATGATTTATCAAGATTACATTTTTGCTAAAGGTTATGAATCTTTGGATTTCATTTATGAAGTTCTATGGATTCACGTATATGTTTATTATGGATTTATGAATATGATTTGTCATAGATTTATGAGACGAGGTTTGAACTTTTGAGCTTCGATGTTTGTTACAAGTTTTGAGATATGTTTTTGGTACTTATCTAGTGGGTTATCATACGGCATATCCGCACACCACGGGTATAGATGTCTATGGCCATAGGACGCAATTGATGTGGAGGATTGAGATAGATATATGATATACCCCCAGCTTCACTGCCGAAAGCAGTGTCGGATAGCTCCACTAGCCACAGCTAGTGTCGTTGTGTTATTTTATATAGCTTTACCATCAGGTGATGGACAGGTTATTTAGCTTCACCTTCAAGTGATAGACAGGTGCTGCCTTTAGAACAGTTCCACCGGAAGTGGAATAGCCTAGCACCCTGTCCAAAAGTGAGGCCAACACCCTGTCAAAGTGCTCCAGCCCGCAAAACAGCCTGGCACCCAGCCCAAGCCAGGCAACAGACCAGCCCATTTCGGACAGACTCAGAGGCCGGCTTATTTGGCTGGCGCGTACAACACACTTGCAACTGGGCGCGAGTAGAAGACAAGGGTGCAGGCGGTGGGGCCTGCTTGTCAACCCACTTGTGTTCACTCGAATTAGGGCTACGTGGCCCTCCTCAGTGTCGTTGGATTTCCAACGGCTAGTTTTTGTAGACCGTTGGATTTGCAACGGTAAAAAAAATTTAAATTTGACTTTTAAAATGGACCGTCTGATCATAGATCAACGGTCCACGTTTTTTTCACCAAAAATAAAAATAAAACAAAAAAAAGGCCCAACGGTCAGAATTTTGACCGTTGGCCACGTGGCAGCTCGTTGGCTGTTGGATTTGAATATTTTTCAAATCCAACGGTCCAGATTAATTAACAACATTAAAATTTATTAAAAATTATGAATTTTTTTTTAAATACAGAAAAATTTTAAAAAATTAATTTTGTTTTTCTATAAATACCTAACCCTCATCTTCCACCTTACACCACATTTCAATATTTTCTACAGTTTCAACATTTGAATATTTTGTACACTTTGAGAGAAAAAATGACTTCGTCAAAGCTCATTGAAGGTGTTACGTTGTGTGAATGTTAGGTTCACACTACTCATGACCCGATTACGGTTAATGAGATGGATAAGCGAGAAATGTGGAGTAAAATTACAAAAGCGTTTTGCGATGTACATGGAAAAGATGCCAGATCTAGTCAAGGTCTTCAAGGTCGTTGGAAAAAACTCAACGCATACTTTACTTGGAAAAATGTCATCTTTCATGCTTCCGGTAATTTGCGTAGTGGGACAAGTTTAGCGAATCAGGTAACAATATTTTTATTTATTTATATGCATTCCACCCACATCAATATTTTAATTTATTTAATTTCTTATGTAATTTCTTATGCAATTTTATGTATTTATGTAATTTATATGCATTCCACGCGCATCAATATTTTAATTTATTTATTTGTGTTACACCCGTATTTTTTAATACTATCTTATCCCACATTTTTATAGACACTACAAGCACAAGCATTCTACAATGCAAAGAACCATAACAAATCATTCAACAAATGGGAATGTTGGCAAATTGTCAAAGATTGCCCTAGATACAAAATTGTGGCAACCGGTCCATAAGTTGTCATGCACGGTATGGGTCTACACAGTTCACCAGAAGCAGACACGACCGAACAAGAAGCCAACACATTTGAAGACACGGAAGGGACGCCTGAAGAAGTGTTGAAGACCCAATCAACTCGTCAGTCCCTCAAGCCTCAAGGTAAAAAGGTAGTTCTTCCAAAAATGACTACACTAAATATATGAAGGAACTTGCTCACCAAGGTGAATTGAACATGGCGTGGGAAAAGGCTAGAGATGAGGAAAAAGCTACTGCTATGGTAGCAATAATAGCAGCTACTGAGGCTCATGATGCGGCAGCTGAGGGACAAAGAGAAATAGTTAATCGAGAGAATGAGATAATTAGAGAAGCACTTCATCGAGAGAATGAGATGCTTAGACAAGAAAGGATGGCTCTAGCAGATCGTGACATTATGAACAAGTCCCTAATAGGACTGTCTCCGAATTCAAAATATTTTTAGACATCGGAAAAAGAGATGTCGTGCGAAGAAAGCGTGCAATAGATGCCAAAACAAGTCGAGGGGGTTCTAGCTACAGAAATCCTAGCAAAGAAGATCCTAGCACCACATATCCTAACTCCATAGACTTTGTATAATTTCATATTTATTTGTAGTACTTTATTTAATTTGTTATGTAATTTGTTATTATTTTTAGAACTTTATTTAATTTCTTATTTATTTTTTGTACTTTATTTAAACACATCAAATAAGATTACATAAACTCACCAAATAAACTTTTAAAAAAAAACACCAAATAAAATTACATAACCTCACCATATAAACTTAAAAAAAAACACACTAAATAAGATTACTTAAAAAACAATACACTTTATTCTTCAACCACAAGCCTTATTTTAATTATCTTCGCCTTTGTGCAATCCCCACTGGTGGCCAATCAAGTCATTCTTGCGGGTTACGTGCCAGTATGGCTCTTGCAATGAAGTGTACCGCTGAATGATCAATTCATTGTAACATCCATCTCGTTCCAACGGCTCGTGTTGCACGGGATCTTCGATCCGGGCATGAGCATAGTAGATTTGTGTTCTTGAGTTGTTCATCGAATCTGGCTCGTATTCATCGACGACATCATAATCATACTCGTCTTCAACAATCATATTGTGGAGAATAATACACGTCATCATGATGGATCGAAGAGCCTCGACATCAAACATTCTAGTTGCAGCCCTGACAATCGCCCAACGAGTTTACAGGATACCAAAACAACGCTCGACATCCTTCCTACACCCCTCTTGACACTTTGCGAAGTGTTTTTCTTTTTCACTCTGTGGATGTGGCACTGTTTTGACAAATGTTGACCACTTTGGGTAAATACCATCTGCAAGGTAGTATGGTCCCTCGTATTTATTACCATTAACCCAATATGTGCATCTCAGCCCATTTCCTTGTAACAGTTCGTCAAACACTGGAGATTGGGCAAAGACATTGAGGTCATTCTGAGCTCCTCGAACACCAAAAAAAGCATGCCAAATCCATGTATCAAATGAAGCAACCACTTCCAAAATGATATTTTTGGCTCCTTTTCTGTTGCCATAAGCTCCTTGCCACGCACTTGGATAGTTTTTCCAAGTCCAGTGCTTGCAGTCGATGCTTCCAATCATGCCAGGGAAGCCTCGCATCTCACCCTTCCTCAGAAGCCTTCGTATGTCCCTTAGCGTGGGTTTCTGAATATACTCATTAGTGAAGAGGGCTTCAATTGCAGAGCAAAACCGCATCAGGGACTCCAGAACAGTTGTTTTTCCCATCCTTGCAATCTCATCCACTTGATATGCAAATACTCTATATGCAAGTATTCGCAAGACAACCGTAATTTTTTGCTCAGGAAAAAGACCTAGAACGTGAAAAGCATCCTCTTTTTGCACAAAGTATGGATCATGGTTGCAAACAGCACTCATGATTCTATTGAACAAACTTCGTTGCATTCTAAAACGACGTCTAAAAACATGATCAGGGAAAACGCTGTTGGGATCTTCCAAGAGATCTTTACCTCGTCTTTCCCTTCTTCTATTAATGTTTGCCACACATCTGGGTTTGGTTATCTGACCCATAGCTTTCATGATACGGCGGAAATGTGAGGCTCTCCGCCTTCTATGGTGATCATCCTCATCCTCCTCCATTGCGAAGGCCTCATCTCCACCTCCACCTTCGTCAAGATTGACCAATTCTTCCTGTTATGCTAACAACCTTTTTTGCTGCTCTTGCAACTGTTTATACATTCTCCTTGAAGAAGACATTGTAAGAACTCAAGATTTGAAAACGATAAAGAAGGATTCTGAGCTAAAAAAAAAGATTGAGTTTAGTGTAAGGATGGATGTAAGGATGTAGGGTTTTTATGGACCAAAAAAAAAAAAAAAAGATGAGGTTTGGACAATGCCACGTGGCACTACGTGATTGGTTGAAAATCTTATCGAAATCTTGGCTAAATTATTGTAAACAGGAAGTGACACGTAGCGTGTCGGGATTGGTTGAAAATCTTATCATAAATCTATCTACAAAATAGTACGTTCGGATAATGACACGTGGCGTGACAAAATTAGTTGAAAATCTTATCGAAATCTTGCCTAAATTATTGTAAACAGGAAGTGACACGTGGCTTGTCGGGATTGGTTGAAAATCTTAGCGGAAATTTATTCACAAAATAGTACGTTCGGATAATGACACGTGGCGTGACGAGATTGGTTAAAAATTCTATCCGAAATTAAAACTATTTTTTAATTTATTATTTTATAAAAAAATTATTAATATTTTAAATGGACTGGGTGCCAGCGCATTTTGTAGGGGTGGAGATAGTTTGTGCCAGCACATTTTTTTAGGGATGGAGATGCTTTGGCCTATTACTGTTCATTAGGGTATATTACTGTTCACTGAAGTGAATAAATGGGCTGGGTGCTGGCGCAAAGTCTTTAGGGGTGGAGTTGCTCTCAGGCGACTATGATACCCCTAGTTGAGTACCTCACTGATGAGATTTACGAATTTGCCTTCAGGCGACTATGATATTGAGAACCTCACTGATGAGGTTTATGGATTGGCCTTCGGGCGTTATTACCATTTCTGAGCACTAGTTTTACATACATGTTTCACGAATGTTCTACATGGCATGCTAGGGTTTTTCATAAAACCTATACATAGTATTATATATGTGTTTTCAAAACAGGGGTTATTATGTTCAAAAATAAAATGTTTTCCTATTATTAGTATTATTATTATAAACTTTGATCCACTCACACTTTGGTTTTTTTTGTGCCCCCTTAGGGGTTAGGATCGAGGCATATGATCCTGGCGTCAAGGCATTTTGGCATAGTTATCCTCGAGTATTCTCAGTATAAGTATCTTTTCCTAGTTTGTATCTTTCTATAGTCATTCTTTGATATTATTCTTATTTAGATGTATGCTCTGAACACGTTCCTGCTTTGGTATAATCGTTCTAATTGCATATATTCTATTTCTATGCATGTTTAAAATGGCTTCGTCACCCTCAGGTGTCTGCCAGCGCGTGCCTACCTGGTATGCGGAGATATCGGGGTTGGTGCATGTCAAATATGATTCTTAAGTAAACATCAAGAACTTTGTGTAATCATAAGATTGATCGAGAAGATCTTTGCCGTGGTGCCACCACAGCTGCCATGAGGGCTTTAAATCTTGCATCATGTGTTGTGGCTTTCCAACTAAAAAATATAGTGCTTTTGCAGATAAACTAGCATTAACTGGATTGACCAAATGTATCACAAGTTTGTCCAACGCTCCTATGAATCTGAGCTTCGGAAGAGAGATATTGGTTTAAGTTAATTCTTAACTGCATTGAATTTGTTATCGTTTCACCACCCAAAAAAAAAAAAAAGTTTTATGGGTAATGAGGGTAGAGTTCGTAACAGCTAGGCTGTTGAGATCGAACTAAAGTTATCTGCATGTTGCTGGTAACCAGCTTGCATTGAATAACATAAAAAAAAAGGTCTCCTTCAGTTCTTCAAATGTTCTTTTGGTCTTGATACATGGGCCCACGACAATTCCAGGTTTGTTGGGTGTGTTGGTGGAAGAGCGGTGCGGACAATACCCTTATCTATGAGAGCGTCTTAGGGTTTAGCCATCATGAATACCCTTAGCATCTTAGAGTTCGATACATCCACCCCTTCTCAAGGACCTTCTGTAGACAAAACTATGTTTTTTACTCTTTTTGGGTGGTAAATATTTCTCAGAACATAGAGTGTGAATCAAACCCATGTGCCTAGGTGATGGGTGTGGGTTTATTGATAAATTTTAGTTTTATTGTTAATTTAATCATGTACTTGATGGTAATTATGCAATAAGGTAAAAAAGACAATTCACATTTAAAATTTAAGTTGGGTGTAAAGAGAGATTATATGGGTTTAAATAAAATTTCCCATAAATAATTCTAAAAGTACAGATTCTCACAACACACGCAGTGCCTTATCTTTTGAATGTGGATCCTCTCCAGATCCTTTTTGCGAGGATCTTAGGAATTCTTTAATCGTGTCCTTTCATAGTACATCATGCTGCTAATTTTCGTCAAGTACTTTTTGTGTTCAATTTTAAATAAAAATTTTAAAATGATTTCTGATCACACAATGTACAAACACAATTAAAGGATTCACGGGATCCCTTAATCATATCCGTACATCGTACATCGTGCGACCAATTTTCGTCAGGTACATTTTGTGTTCAATTTTAAATAAAAAAAATTAAATTGATTTCTAACGATACGATGTATGATGAATGGACATGATTAAAGGATCACCGAGATCCTCACAAAGATAATCCAGAAAGATCCTCATTCCTATCTTTTATATTATAAATAACTAGAAGATGACACACTCTGTATGTGTGAACAATTTCATTTTATTTTTGTTTTTTTATCAAGGAGTGTGATTAGTTTGTAAAAATTTTTTAAAAAATAAGTATGGGACAATGATGATGAGATGGTTTCTCTTAATAAGGGCATATTTTTTTCTTAATATAGGGTAAAATAGGAAAAATAGGAATATGATTGTTATTTTCTCAAAAGGTATATAATTACTGTTTTGTCCTCCTTATGCAAACATTGTGTATACAAAATGAAGGTAAAATAGAAAAAATAATGATATGACTGTCATTTTCTCAAAAGGTTGACAAAGAGAGTTTTTATAATAATAAAATATAGATATAGATATTGGCAATCTTTCACAGAAATATTATTGCAATATAAGATTAAGTGATTAATAATTGCATAATTTTTTAAACTAATGATTCTTTCAAGCAACGTTTGTTAGGTAGGTTTTTGGTTCCCCAGATGTGGTTTCGGAATATTTGACTTGCGGGCATATGAGATGCCCTCTCAGAAGCCAACAAAACTCCCACTCTTCAGTACTCTCTAGTCTCTATACTCACCTACACAAACAAAGCCTCGCATATAATGCATTGAAAAAAGTTGATATTTCACATAAAATTGATTGAAAATAAGAGAAATAGCTTAATTTACTTACAAATTTGTGTAAGGTCCATTCTCCCATCAACGTGAAAATCATTCTTAACACGTCCCTCACGTAAGACGAATTTTCAAGCCTAACATGTAGACAATAGAAGGGGATAATGTGGAGCGCGCGCAAGTGACCATTGACTTCACAGTTCACACGTGAGACAACTTGCTCTGATACCATAAAGAAAGTTGTGGTTCCACCTAAAAATTAATTGGTAATATGAAGAGTAGCCAATTACTTATAACACATACAAGTTCCTCATTTCCCTGAAGTGTGATTCAACTCTCAACACATCCCCTCACGTGTGATGAATTTTCAAACCGAACATGTCCACACCGATTTAACTACTACTTAATAGTATATCACTAGATATTATGCCCGCGCGTTGCAGCGGGTTTTAAAACAGAAATATTAGAAACACTATAGAGATACAGTTAAATATGGAAAACTCCATTACATCCATTTTTCATAGTTTAGTAGTTATGGCTATCATTCTACTGAAACCAGCACTTCGATACAAAAAATTACAAAATGCTGTTTTTAACCAGCAATGATGTACAAAAATATTACATGCAAAAATATTACAGTCATCTAGCATAGACTGGTAGTTGTTTTTAACCAGAACCAGCAATGATGTACAAAATATTAAGAAGTGCTGGTGTATGAACATGCAAAAATATTGATAAGCTTGAGTAAAAAGTGTTATTTACATGCCATAAAACATCCGGAATAGATTTTTACATATGCTGATGAACCATGCTGTATATTTTTGAGGGCAGCAGATGATGTTTTGGTTCTACACTGTCAAAACAACCTAGTGGCAGAAAAGAAAACCAAATATATTTAAATAACTGTTCAATTTGGTTTTCAATAAATTTAGACTGAGAGAAAGGAGAAAGTTAAAGAGTATATTTACCTAGTATTTTTTTGGCGGGTGGTGGCAGTTTTTGTATCAGTCGGAGACGATTTTTTTTTTCCAATGATTTGATAGGAACCTCATCAAATTCTTCTGGATCAACCTCTGATATTTCTTCTAGTTCACTGTTTTAAATAGGAATTGAGTGTTAGAATAGATGGTTACATAATGATTTAAAATTGGTAATTAGAAAGAGATATACGAAAGAAACCTGTGTTCACCAGCGGTAAAAGAGCTTTCCTGATGGATTCTCGCTTTCGTTTATATGATGATCCACTTGTTTCAGGCATTGAAGCAGAGGATGACATGGTGGTTGAAGAGACTAATTTCTCTGGACAACGGTCGTGGAGTGATTGGCTCAATGGAGGTATCCTCGCAGATGAAAATTTCTTTTTTGCCCGATCAGCCTTAGAAACTCATTTGGTAACTGTTGTTGCTCAACTAATCTTTGATTCAGTACTAAGTCTTTACATGGCACACCAAAAAGCTTTTCACCAGATTTTCCAGTTATGAGAGCATTGATTTCATTGGTGTGATCCTCAAGAACCAAATTGACTTTATACCTAGATTGAAAAAACGAAACTGCATGAGGGAAAATAATCTCGAATTCAACTTATACAAATAAAAACAAAATAGAAGAAAACATTGTTAAAACCAGAAAGAGCAGTGTTTGTTTTTAAACTTAAATCTACAACGAAATGCATGGTTATCAAGTTTATTAATAGTTTGGATTCATGATAGCCATATTAAAGTGTGAGAAAAGCAGAGTATACGTGAAGACCAATCATAACCAATACTGGAACGATTTGACCAAGTGTAAACGAAAAGAAGCATATTTTAGTCTTTAAGTAATGAAGATAACATGGTCAAAAGTGCAAAAGGTATACCAATTTTGTACAAAAAGGGTAAATCTGTGCTGCAATGAGTATGTTTTGAACAATGATTTAATTGTTTAACACATAGTATTTGAAAGTTGTTTAAATAATGTGAAAGCAGGAAAGGTTAGAATTTTTTGTTTAAGATCACAAAATTTAAGCAAAGTATAACTCTAACAAAGTTTTGGATAACAGCTGCAAAAAAACAGCGAGAAAAATAATCAATGAGGGTGAGGATATCTGACCTAATTTCATTCTAGATAAATGTATTCAAACCATGTGCATGAGAAAAAATGTGAAAAACACAGATTTGGTAAATGTTAGATTATATAAAGAATGAAAAAAAAATACAAGGATAACAAATATTCAAAGCAATTTATGACAAAGTTTGAGGAATGCATGTTAAACATTACCAAGGAGTTGGAATTTGGTTTGGATGCTTTGGCAGATGAGTTGTCCAGTCGTTAAGTCTTTATGCATTTGTTTTACACAGTTGGGATACGCAATATACCACCATTGATAACGTGTGTCAAAACCCTTGACACACGCTTTACAGAAAAACGTATCATTCTGCGAAACAGTTTGTAATAGTTTTGTATAAGGAATACTAATTACGTATACAATGTTTATTAAAAATGTAAAAATGCAGTCATATGTTTTTAAGATGAGTTAAAAACATGTAATTAGATTTTATACCTTGTGTAAATCAGGATCTAGAAAAGCCACTTCATCAATTGTGAACATCTTGGCTGTGCGTAAAATTTCGGCCTCATTTACTTGTCTGGAGTAGGGGGCCAATATTTTCACAGGCTCGTTACAATTTGCAAACCTGTATGATTGAAAATGTATAACTGTTTGAATAATTTTATGAAACTAATACTTTTTTTGCTTTTACAAAAGTTAAAACAGTTTAATTTTGTTAAAAGCTATAGAAATACTTACACCGACTTGGATGCATTAACTTCTGGGATGTCCGGATCAAAAAAGAAAAGTGAGCAACCAGTACTGTTCATCACAATTTTATCTGTGCATTGAAAAAAATGATAAGAAAGTTGAAAGAAAATATTGATAAATGGTTTTACGGGCACATGCCAAGTATCAGAATGATATGATACAATCACTTACTGCACCATGATTTTAATCAAAATGGACAAAGTTTTTAAAAGCTGAAAATAAAAGAGAAAGTTAATTAATAACAGTGATTGACAATTAATTTATTAAGATATTTGAAAATTAATTAATCAAGTATAAAACAAAGATATATGATATGTCACAGGAAGTGAAAATGATAAAATCATGTCATCAGAAAAAATTTGAACAATTTACACAAAGCTGTGTGTCAAAAAATAATAATAAATAAAGATACGAAAGATTGCTTGTAATTAAGGTGCCTATATAAAGCTTCACTTTTAAGCTTGTAAAAACGACAACAACTGGGAGGGGCAGTGCTTGGACAGATGAAGAACAAAATTCTTCAGCAACGTCTCCCCATAGTGTAACAGTGAGTTGTTCTCTTCGGTAGATATACCATATCAGAAACAAATATATAGATGTTTTTCAATATAAAGCAAATTATGAAGATAATCTATAATGAGAGCGATAAGAAAAAAGGAATAACCTGACATTTTGAATGTGTATATCCCACTTGTATGCTACCTTTTGATTAATCTGTTTTGGCTCTAAATGTTGTATTGAAGTGAGATGACCAATGACATCTTGCAATTTAAAAGGTAAATATAAGCATGTTGTGAAAAATAATTTGGCAAAAATAAACTTCAGTGTTTTTAATCTCTATATATAGATACATATATAATAATATCACCTGTAAGAATGTCAACTTTGTTCAAGCGGGGATAAAGAGTGTTGTAATCCTGTAGGAAAAACCGGTGTTGAGGAATAGGCGGAAACACACTTGAGAGCTTTTTGAAATTTGTTTTACCACTGAATATAAGCTGAGTCTCATACGGCACTACGTTGTACTGGCTCTTCATTCTAGTGGTCCGAAAATTTGTGATTTCATAGCAACCCCCAGGTTCAATTTTTGAAGCTATAGTCTTGTAGTCAATGTCCGGCATGTTTCTTTACAATTGGTTATGCAAATAAAATGAACCCAAAAAACAAAAAAAGTTAAAAAGAGGAGGGGGGGTGGTGGGGGGGGAAATGAACAGAGTTAAAAAGGAGAATAATAAATGGAAAAAAATAGATATTATTCTTCAATATGCATATATTAAATTGTTAACATGGAGAGATGCAATCACATCAAGAGATAAAGACATACAATGAATGAAAATAATTAAGTCAGCTGAACCAACACTTAAAAAATTAAGAAACAGAAAAAATGTAAAAAAGTTTAACCAAGTGTGAAGTTCACCTAAAAATATTTAATTCGTATGTTTACTTGCAATCTAAATAAATTACAGGATATGCAATTAAATAATGATGTAAAATTAATGACAATATATATCAATGTGTTATGATTATCTGTATACAGTTAAGATTCATTATTGAATATATTACAAAGAATGATAAACAAAAATATTAATTGGCTAGTCAATCATTCTTGTTATAATTCTTCATCAAAATAATAAACCAATATTTTCTCACCGTCTCATCAAGCAAAATGCAGTGTAGAGATGTGCATTTTTTAGTAGTTCCGGGAATTGTTGATTTCCATATTCTACAAACGCGAGATTTGATTTTCTCAGCCTTTATATACGGCCGTAACTCAGAGATGGGAGTTATCTCTGTGTCTTCCATTAAATCTCTGCTTAAACCAAACATAACTTGTATGAGTTAAAAAATTGTTCTCACCAAGTCTTAAAATAAATGATTAAATAAGTAAAAATATTAATTTCTCATACATCAGTTATATAACAATACTATCTTGTGTAAGTAATGCAGATAAATAAGGAAAGATAAGCTAACTTAAATCAAAATTTGATAACTATGCAGGAGTAAAGACTTAAACAAAATATTGATTAAGAAAAATTAAATGACTTATGAAAGTTCAAAAAGACACAGAAATTTAATCCAAATAAAACATGACAAATGAACAGATAAAGATGCTCCCAAAAGACCGAACAACTGATGACAACTTTAAGATTAACCACGTAACAAGCTAAACCTCACCCTCGACTGAAAACAGACGGTGCACCAGCCAAGTTGCCGTCTCCTCTATACAAACAAAACCTGCAAAACCAATCATGAACCAAAAATATAAATAAAAAACAAATTATACACCATATGCCTGAAAAACGCTGAGAAAGGAAATTCCAGAAAGAGAAAACAGATGGAAGGCAAAGGCTCTTCAATTTTAAACAAAAAAAAAACAACATATCAGTTTCATTGTCTCTTGTTCAATATGTAGACAAAACCCTGGGTTCAACAGCCCATAATTAGCAAAACCAAACAAAACCCCAAATTGATTTTAAAAAAATAATAATAATAGAAAACATTCCACCCTGTTCATATCCTGCATCTCTTCTATAAGACTATAACTGTTTCCATCTGAGACCACATAAAAACCTCCAAATTCAATTTAACCACCCATGAAAATCCATAAGCGAAACTGGGTTTAAAAATTTACCCAAATAAAGATTCAACTTTTGTATACTTTCGAATCTATCAAAATCAAACTTTTCAGTTTAAAACAAAAGAAAAATCAAAAGTTGAAACCCTTACACTGATTCGGTGTTGAGTGAATAAACGAAGAGCTGAAAAAGACACAAAGTGAGATTTGAAAGGGGACGACCGAATGCGACAATGGAAAGAAGAAAAGCAAAACGCACAACTTGCAAAACAATAGAGATGCAGAATTTGGTATGGGAAACTGAACAAAAAGCAAAGTGGGTATAAACTAAAAACCAAACCTCACGACCCACACGTGGACTAGGTGAAAAATACTGAAAAGGATAAAGAAGATACCAGGCAAAAAGCAGGGACATTTCCATCTTTTCACTGCATAGATGTGGCAACAAAAAGGAAAGTAAACAAAATCTGACATTTTACTGTTAATGAACAGTAAAGTTGTCATAGTTAAGCACATGGTTTGTGGCGGAAAAAAAATATAAAAAATTACAAAAATCCACAAATGATGGACAGTTGGATAGAATGGGCAAACCCGATGAATCACTGTACGAAAGGGCAAAAAGCACAGTGCAAAGGCTAAAATGAGGAGTATTTCAGTCAGTTCATTATACCAAGCATGTAAGACAACGGGAAACAAAGAAGACATCAATCAATGGGCATTTAAGCCATTACACTGTTCGTGAACAGTATTTCTCCAGCGGGTTTTAGTATATAGGTAATATTACAACTACAAGTCATACTTTGCAAGCAACAAAAATCCATGGAGATTTTGTTTACCAAGTTGTTAATGGAATAGTTTACTTAATTATAGGCGTGTATGAGATAATCCAGCTTAGGGGTCAACATTTGGCACGCGACCGGTGGATCGATCCTACCTCCCAGATCGGGCAACAAAAACACGTTTTAGCTTCGATTAAACTCCTCCTCCTCATCACTCCACAAACAAATCATTTCACAAATCATGAATACCCTTTTCTTCACAGTTTTCCTTCTCCTCATCCCCATCTTGCTTCTCTTTGCAAGGAGAAAAAGATAACCAAAAAGGGTTCCTCCAGGCTCATTAGGACTACCCATAATCGGCCAAAGCCTCGGTCTTCTCCGAGCCATGCGTGCCAACACCGCCGAAAAATGGCTACAACAAAGAATCGAAAAGTACGGCCCAGTTTCAAAGCTAAGTCTCTTTGGCAAACCAACGGTCTTCATTCATGGACCTGCTGCGAACAAGTTCATATTCGCCAGTGATGACAGCACCATTTCCAGTCAACAAGTTGAGTCTATTCGTCTACTTTTGGGTGACCGGAATATACTGGAGCTGAGCGGCGACGATCACAAGCGCGTTAGAAGTGCTCTTATGTTGTTCTTGAAGCCCGAGTCACTCAAGCAGTATGTGGGAAAGATGGACCAAGAAATCAGGAGACACCTTGAGATGCATTGGCATGGCAAGCAACAAATAACTGTAAGCCCAAGTGGTGTTTGAAACAAAACTATTTCAAAAGACCAACTTTCGGTGAAGGAAAATGATTTCTGCACTCTACTTTTCAACTTCTGCATTCCCCTGTTGAATTATGTCCCTTTATTCTCCAATAATTTCTTCATTCCAGTGACAGAAAAAAAGAGGGCAATACACACTTTATTGATCCATTTTCTCTGCTTCCTCTAGAACTTCTTCAATATTATTGCATTAGGCACCGTTTTCTCGTCATATTATGAATAAAATAAAAAATGAACTCGAATTTGGTAGCAAACGAAGATCAATGTTAACTAACAAAGTTCTTCTGTTTGATAGGTCTTGCCCCTGATGAAAAACCTCACATTCAACATAATATGCTCCCTACTTTTTAGGCTTGAACAGGGAACTTGTTTGAAATGGTACCAGGCATGTTGCTATTTAGTTGATAAAGATTCAAACTTTGAATAAATCGTTTGAAGGAAATTTTTTATGTTTGTTTTGCTAGAGAGAAAACTTGAAGAGCCAAAAGTCTTTCTGTATTTTTTCTTAATCTCAAAAGACCAATTACAAAGACTATATCATTGTCCTCAGCCGGTCTAAAACCAGATCCTACTTCTAGGGACCTAGTACTTCTCTCCGACCATAAATGGTTCTGGAAGGATATCATCCATCCACTTGGAAGAGGATGAGAAAACTCAGTACAATTAAAACAAAAACAACCAGCTGTAAGCTTTCTAAAACTAGAGAAACAAACTAGCCGTTGAATTCAAAAAGCTCCTTCCAATTTTAGTAAGGTCTTCATTTCTTCACACCTTTCGGCTTCCTTTTGACTTCATCTGCAGGATTACCTTCTGCAGGATTACTCAGAAGCTAGAAGACAGCTTAAATCTCAACAGCCTCTCCTAAGCTGCTTACTGGCTTCACTCCTAACTTCATCCTCAAGTAATTGAATCGATCTTTAGGCAAGGCTTTAGTAAATATGTCTGCCAACTGCTCTTCACTTCTGCAATACTTCACATCAATGGATCCTTGCTGTAATGCTTCTCGAATAAAATGATATTTTCTGTTTATGTGTCTGGTTCTCTGATGAAAGACTGGATTTTTGACCATTGATATTGCTGACATGTTATCACAGAACAATGGTGTTGCATCAGCTTGCAATTCACCAAAATCATCCAACACAAATCTTAGCCAGATGGCTTGAGCTGTTGCTCCAGCTGCTGAGACATATTCAGCTTCTGCAGTTGACAATGCAACTGTGTTTTGCTTGACTGAGGCCCATGAAAAAACACCACTTCCAAAGCTAAATGCATATCCAGATGTGCTCCTACTGTCATCTTCACTTCCAGCCCAATCTGAGTCACAAAATCCAATCAAAACAGCCTCCTTGTCCCTTGTGAATTCAATACCATAGCTGAGAGTACCTTGAATGTATCTGAGAACTCTTTTAGCTATCCCCATATGTTTTTTCGTGGGACCATGCATGAACCTTGATAGCAAACTGGCTGCATACATTATATCAGGCCTAGTTGCAGTTAAATATAGCAAACTGCCAACTATTTTCCTGAACAAATCTTCATCAGTTAACTCACTTCCATCAACCTTCTTCAGTTTCTCACCTGTGGGTAGAGGAATTGTCACTGACTTACAATCCTCTAGGCCAAACTTTACAAGCAAAGACTTTGCATACTTGCTTTGATGGATGAACACCCCTTTTTCAGTTTGTAGAACTCCCATTCCCAAGAAATGATGTAAGAGTCCTAAATCTGTCATCTCATACCTCTGCATCATGTCTCTCTTAAACTCCCTGAGCAATGTATTGCTACCTCCAGTGTATACAATATCATCAACATATATAGAGACTATGATCATATTTCCTTCATCATCAGTTCTAGTATATAAGGTAGCCTCACTAATGCTTCTTTTGAAATTGCAGCTTGTGAGATAAGTGTCAATCTCACTGTACCAGGCTCTAGGGGCCTGCTTCAAACCATAGAGAGCCTTCTTTAACTTATAAACCTTGTGACTAGCATTTTTGACTTCAAAACCCTCGGGTTGTTCAGTGTAAACCTCCTCTTCAAGTACTCCATTCAAGAAAGCTGACTTAACATCCAATTGGAACAGCTTCCAACCCTTCTGAGCTGCAAGTGCAATTAAAGTTCGAATTGTATCTAATCTTGCCACTGGAGCAAAGGTTTCATTGTAGTCAATACCAGGTTTTTGAGCATACCCTTTTGCCACAAGCCTAGCCTTGTGTTTTTGAACTGATCCATCTAGATTCAGTTTGGTTTTGTACACCCATTTTACTCCTATGACAGGCTTGTCTGCAGGTCTTTCAACTAGCTCCCAAGTTCCATTTTTCTCAATAGTTTCAATCTCTGCATTCATGGCTTCCTTCCATGCATTGTCTTCAATAGCTTCATGATAGGTTTCAGGCTCAATAATGGTCATATGACATCTTGCATAAATGTCCTCCAAGCTTCTCAGCTTTACTGGTGTATTGCTTGGTGTTGAGCCTTGACTTGTACTGGCAATGTTGCTTCCAGGGACATGTTCATCATCTGAGATTAATTGAGTAGGATTTGGAGAGTCAATGCTGTGAGTTTCATGAGAAGGTTCTTCTGTTTCTGTTATCTCAGTGTTTTCTTTTCCAATGGTGAGAGGCATGAAGACAGTTTCATCTTGCTTGCTTTCCCAATTCCAGGTCTTATTCTCATCAAACACTACACTTCTTGAGAGGATAATCTTCTCTGTTTGAAGATTATAAATCCTGTAACCTTTCTCACAGCTCCCATAACCCATGAAGATTCCTTTGCTAGCTTTATCATCAAATTTCTGTCTAAGATTTGATGGAATGTGACTGTAACAAATGCTTCCAAACACTCTCAGATGTTTTACACCTGGTTTTCTTCCTGTGTAAGCTTCAAATGGTGTTTTGTCTGTGACTGTAGTGGTATAACACCTATTTTGCAAATACACAGCAGTGCCAACTGCTTCAGCCCAGAACTTAACAGGAATTTTCTTCTCAGACATCATTGATCTTGCCATTTCTCCAATGGTTCTATTCCTTCTCTCAGCAACCCCATTTTGCTGAGGTGAGTAGGGTGTAGTCAATTGTCTCTCCATGCCATGATCACTGCAGTAGTCAAGAAATTCATGTGAGGTGTATTCACCACCTCTGTCACTTCTTAGTTTCTTCAATTTGAAACCACTTTGAAGTTCAACAAAAACTTTGAATTTTTTGAACACATTTATCACATCTGACTTGTTTCTGAGGAAATATACCCAACACATTCTTGAATGGTCATCAATGAATGTGATGAAATATTTGTTCCCTCCAATAGACTCATTTTGCATTGGACCACATACATCCGTATGTACCAACTCAAGTGGATAGTTTGCCCTCCAAGATTTCTCATTTTCAAATGGTTCTCTGTGACTTTTGCCATACACACAGCTTTCACACACTCCTTCATTCTCTGAGAAATCAGGCAAGCCTAACACAATTTGTTTTTGTTGCATTTTCTTTAGGCTGGTAAAGTTCAAATGCCCCAATCTTCTATGCCAAACCCATGAATCTTCTTGTACTGCAGCTCTTCTTGCTACTGTTTTGACAGATTCCAAAGACAATGGAAAACATCTATTTCCAGTCATTACAACTTTAGCAACAACATTATCAAGCTTGCTATCATCAAAGATCACTGCCATATTGCCTCCAAACAGGACATAATAGCCATGCTCCATCATCTGGCCTACGCTCAGTAAGTTTTCATCCAAGC